AAAAAAGAAAAAAAAAAGGAAAAAGCTCTCAGAATATTAAGAAAAACAAACAAACAAACAAAAAACCAAACAAAAAAACCCCAACCCACCCCCAAACAAACAAACAAAAAAAGATCAAGAATAATCAAGGGAACTAATTACACTTACAGATGACTTAAAGCCCTAAAGAATACTCTCCAACAGAGAAAAAGTTTCAGAAAATCCACATACAGATTTCATAAGGCATTCCCAACATCTGAGTACTTCAATACTACTAAATTCAGCCAAATGCAGAAACCCTCAGCTTTAGTCTGATGTCCTTAAGTTCTGCAAAGACTCCTGAAAAAGGATGAGGAAACTAATTCCACTCTCAGTTTTTCACCTGAGCTATTTGAGGTATTGAAAGGTCACAGGTGGAGTTGAAACCACGGAGTTTTTTCTTTGCCTTATGCTCAAACTGAATTGCATAGGAAGGTGTTGCTGTCATTAACTACTGCAAGTCTAGGCAGAGATATTCATGTATTTCCTGTCACTGGCCAGTGACCAGCAAAGAGAAAACAAACTCACCTGGATGTAAGTGTTCTGAATTCCTGCCAGCTCTTCCCCAAGTGGAACTACAATTTTTTCCACCAGTCTCTCGTGAGAATAAGGCTGGATTTCCGGGGAATCCTCAGCACACACCTCTATCCGAGCGATCAGTAAGTTGGAGATAACCTGCTGCACAGCCTGGCAGAGAGGCAAGGCAAAAATTACTATTTCCACAATTTAGCAGGGCTGGAATACATTTGCAAAGAAAGATACCCACTGCCCATGAGGGAAAACAAAAGACCCCCCACTTAGAGACCTCAAGCAAAGAGCCAAGACTGCAAATATATTCAGTTTTGATGTGGAACTTTAACATCTCTATACCTTGCACAGTGTCCAAACTGGTATCAAACACAGCTTCTACTCCAGTTTGATTATCTGAACCACACAAGTGGAGCTGGCTCACCTTGGTGTCACTGCCTGGGGTGGCACTCAGGGCCAGGATCCGAAACTGGCTGGTGTATTTGCTCAGTTCCCTCACAACCTACCAAAGGGAAGTTTCTGTTAATACCTTTAAAGGAGATTATTTCCTAACACAAACTATACCAAGGAAAATACCCACTAAGAAGGAAAGGCTTAACAAAACACTCTGAAAATATTCAATCAGAGAATCGTGGTATGCTTTGGGTTGGAAGGGACATTAAAGATCATGAACTGCACCCCCTGCCACGGGCAGGGACACCTTCCACCATCCCAGGTTGCTCCAAGCCCTGTCCAACCTGGACTGGAGCATTTCCAGGGATGGGACATCCTGGAAGTATACCAAGAACAATCTGGGTAAATTATGAAGTGATTTCTCACTTGATTTCACAGAAAGATTAACAGCACACTAAGTCAGGAGAGCTGCCAAGAAGTCTGAAGAACAGCTCAAAAAAAAAGTAAATCATGGATAATAAGCCCCATGAAATCTGAACTCCACATGTATTAATACACATAATCCAATCAATTTTTCCAGTATACAAAATTTACTTTTGAGATCACCCATCGCTGAGATTAACCCAATGATAACACAAAGTCTTTGTTGATCAACACAAACCTCGATTTTAAAAACAAAACTTGAACTGGTGTTACTCATTTAAAGAGCCTTACAAAAAAAGCTTTTATTTCTTTTAATTGCCTCAGTCAAGAAGATACTTTGAAACAGAAATAACAATTCAGACGTGACAAAAATTCCTTACAGGTATTACTTAAAACCTGACAATGCACAGGAGTGTTTGATCTCTTTCAAAGTTAAGGACCTCGAGAGCAACCTCCCCGCAGTGGTAACAGTGACACTTTATGGAGATTCTGAAGTGCTTTGGGGGAGTGTTTTTGTCACTAGGGGAGAAAAAGGGGGGACTCCAGCATTACCTGGCAGTAGGCATGATTCCCAAGGGCTTTGTGGGCTTCATCAATAACCAAACATTTAATGTCCCCAGCGGGACAGGTGCCCCGAGACAGGTCATTGACCATTATCTGAGGGGTAAGGAAAAGCACTCTCTTGGTATTCCACAGCTCCCGGCGGCCCAGGGCTTGGGTTCCTCCTGGAAATAAAGGAAATGACATCAGGGAGCTGTTCTGCTGAGAGCAAAGCACAGCCCATGACCGGAGAGTAGCAGCAGAAGCCAGCAGGGCAGCTGGCAGACACAGGGAATCCCAGCATGGTTTGGGTTGGAAGGGACCTCAAAGCCCATCCAGTGCCAGCCCCTGCCATGGGCAGGGACACCTTCCACCAGCCCAGGGTGCTCCAACCTGGCCTTGGACACTCCCAGGGATCCAGGGGCAGCCACAGCTTCTCTGGGCAACCTGTGCCAGGGCCTGCCCACCCTCACTGAACACAACAACGAGGAAGAGTTTCTTGCATTAAAACACTAAATCCAGAACCACGGAAGTCAAGGCTGGGAAGCTCAAGATGCCCCACAGCTCTAAACCTCATTTATAACATCTCTGGGAAATGTTTTTGCCTAAAAACAGCTCATGGGTTCTGTCATTAAGTGCAGTGAGCTGTAGCTGGGGGGTTGGGGGGGGTGGTGTCTGTAAAAACTTTATAAAAAGGGGGCAAAAAGGAAAAAGGCGGAAAGAGGGAGGGGAGAGGGGAACGTGGAAAGGGGAGGGGAAAAGAAAACGGGGGTAGGAAAGGAAAAACGGGAGGGGGAAAGTGGAGGAGAAAAAAAAATAAAGAAAAAAAAAAGGAAAAAAGAGCCATTATTCTTTAGCTTAAGCTTCACGTAGAGCACACTGTGTGTGAACACCCGCCAGGCTGCGACCCACAGGGCTGCGCCGCAGCGCTCCACCACCCTTTTACCCAGGCGACCCGGGGCTTTAACTACCGCAAAACCAACGGCCAACCCTCTTCATTTCCCAACACCTCCTTTTATTCCCTCTCTTCACACTCTGCCCCTTCAAACCCCCCTGCGTACCTGTCATCTCCGCCATGTCCCGTGAGGGGATGCCCATGACGCGGGCGCACGCCTCCATCTGCTGAGCCACCAGCGGCTTGCTCGGGGCGAGGAACAGCACCTTGCCGGAGGGGAACCAGCGGTAGAAGTTGTACATGACCACGGCGGCCACGAAGGTCTTGCCCAGCCCCGTGGGCAGGCACACCAGGGTGTTGGCCAGCAGCGCGGCGCCCGCCATGCGCTCCTGGTACGGCCGCACCGGGAGGTTGGTGGGGTAGATCCATATGGACCCCGCCGCCTCGCTGAAGCCCTCCACGGGCACGGGGTCCGCCGCGGCGGCGGCGGCTGCCAACAGTAAGTCATCGTCGCTGTCGTCGCCCGAGCCCTGCCTTTCGGTTCTGCCCTCGGGCGCCCGCCAGATCTGAGGCAAAGTGCGCTGCCGACCGCCGCTCATCCTCCTCCCTCAGGGGCCGCCATTTTGTCGCTCCCTCAGCGCCGCCGCTTGAAAACGCCGCCGAGGGTGAAGGGGAGGGACGGGAGGCGGCTTGGCCGCCTCCCGGCCCTCCCCTTCTCCCTCGGAGGGTTCCTGGCCCGCCCTTTCCACCTCGGGCGGCCTGAGGTAAATCCCGCTTCTCCTCCCGCCTCACTTCTCCCTCAGGGCGTTTCCTCCCCGCCCTGAGGCGGCGCCATTTTGTCCCTCCCTCAGCGCTGTCGCCTCAACCCCCCCTTCAGGAACCTCCTCTGCCCACGGGCCAAGGGGAGGGTCGGGAGGCTCCTCCCGGCCCTCCCCTTCTCCCCAGGCGTTTTCCTGGCCTTCCCCCTCCTCCCCTCCCCTCGCCGGGCGGTTTCCCAGCCCTCCTCTTCGGAGTAGGAGGAGGAGTAGGAGGAGGCGGGGTGGGCAAAATGGCGGCGGCCGCCGGTCCCGCGCAGCCCTGGAGCGCCGAGGAGCTGCGGAGCGAGGCGCTGGCCAAGAAGGAGATCATCAAATTCCTGCAGGAGCACGCGGCGCAGGCGGTGAGTTTGCGGGGAAATCGGCGGTTCGGAGCGCGATTGGAGTGTGTTTGTGTGTGTGTGTGTGTGGGGGGGTTGTTTCACGGCTCGCACGCGTTTGTGTCCCGGCAGTTCCTGGCGGAGCACAAGCTGCTGGGGCAGGTGAAGAACGTGGCCAAGACGGCGAACAAGGAGCAGCTCATCGCGGCTTACACGCAGCTTTTCCACACGCAGGTGAGGGGGCGAGGAGGTGGGAATAGAGGTGAGGGAGGGGAGGGGGTCCTGTGGGGGTTAATGGTTGGTGGATGTGGCTCTTCGTGCTCCCCCTCAGCGGTTCAAGGGCACGGACGGCGCGGAGAAGGCGGCGGAGAAAGCGAAGCCGGCCAAGGCGGAGGAGGCCAAGGGGAAGGCGGTGAAGGCTGAGGAGGCTGTGGAGGAGGTTTGTGCGACACTCCCACCTCGTGCTTGCCGTGTGGGGAAACCCAGCTAACCGCGTCCCCTGTCTCAGGTTGAGGGTTAGGGTGGGGATCAAGGAAAGGTTCTTCCCCCGGGGGGTGGTTGGCACTGAACAGGCTCCCCAGGGCATTGGGCACGGCCCCAAAGATGCCAGAGGCCCCAAAGATGCCAGAGCTCCAGGAGCGTTTGGATGATCCTCTGGGGCACAGGGTGTGACTCTTGGGGTGTCCAGGAGTTGGACTGAATGATCCTTGTGGGTCCCTTCCAACCCGGGATTCTCCAAAAACATGGTTACAGCAAGAACTCTGGTGTTTGCACCCTGCCTTAACCTTCATCTGCTGCACTTTCCCCATACATCCCAGTCCTGCAGTAACACATGAACACGCCCTTTGCACGTCTTTGATGCCTAAGTGCTTATTCCATCTTAAATGTAATTGATATGAAGCTATTTAACCCTCCAGTCCTAACTCTTATTTTTACAACCTCAGGGGCCACCAAAGTATACAAAATCCATTTTAAAGAAGGGCGACAAAACCAACTTCCCGAAGAAAGGAGACACTGTGCACTGCTGGTACACGGGAAAGCTGCAGGATGGGACAGTCTTCGATACCAATATTCAATCAAGTAAGGTCATGCATAGGTGGATACACAGAGGAACTGTTTGGGTTTGCTGCAGACACTTGTAGAGTGCATTTTCTGGGCTCCTTAAGCAGATTTGGGCAGTGTTTGCCTCGGGCAGTGTCCCTGTGGGATTCTGACAAACCCCTTTGTTGTTGAGCTGCCGGGATGTCCCTGAGCCCCCTCCCGGGTCCTGATTTTCCATGAGGTAAGGCAGGGCAGTATTTTAGGACTGGCTGGTGTCAAGTGACACTGCTGCATCCTGCCAGCCCTCCCTTCTGGCATTCTCCAGGCCTGGGAATGTGAAATGCAGGGAGTTAATCAGGGCTGAAAATACTTGAGGGTGAGAGGGAGCTTCCCTCTCCTATGGAACTCCAGCACCAGCAGTGTCCTTCTCTAATAAATCCTTAAACATGGAGGCACTGGAATGAGAGGGATTTGAGTACTCTGGTGTTTTTGTGACAGATTTAGGGATATGAAGTCCTGCAATACTAGGAAGGCTTTTCCAGAGTGTGTCCCACACTCCGAGGAACAGTATTCCAGAGTCACCGGAATGCTGTCTGGGACTCCTTGTACTTGCTGTATGTTCCCTGTTGACTTCTTATGGTTCTTTAATGTGTTTGTGACTTGTTCTGTCAACTTTACGAATTCAGAAATGAGTCTTTAAGGCTTGAAAGATGCTCATCAGCTTTAGCTCTCAGTGGAGCTTGAGCAGTGAATGATGGCTTTGGTGCACAGCACTGAATATTAAAATATTATTATAATAATATCATAAGAAAATATTTACTTACCATAAATATTGATGCTGGTAATTGTGGCCAGCAGTGTGGTGTGTGCTGCAGTGACGCTAAAGCAAAGCAACACCAAACTCTCTTCCAGGCTCCAAGAAGAAAAAAGCAGCCAAGCCCTTGAGTTTCAAGGTTGGCGTAGGAAAAGTGATCCGAGGTGTAAGTACGGCATTGACAGCTCCCTCAGAATTCCAAAGGAGTTCCCTTCTGTGTCATTTATGACCGGGGTGCAGTTTTTGAGCTGCTGTTCTGTTCCTCAGAGGTAAAAATGCAGATTACGAGGGCTTACATGGGCAGGAGGTACCATTATCCTGTGTCATTGCCCTGGTGAGCAGCGTGTGGAAAACAGAGCCGTGTTCCTGGGGACAGGCCCAGCCTCCTGCTCCTGTCAGTCTGCTCTGAGGCTGTGGGATTCCTCTCCTCCTGGCTCTGTTCCCTGGCAGCAGAGCCCGACCCCCCCTGGCTCCCCAGTCCTGTCAGGGATTGCAGAGCCAGAAGGTGCCCCCTGAGCCTCCTTTTCTCCAGGCTGAGCAGGAGAAAGGCCTTTCTGAGGGCCGGGACTGGCACTGGGAAGGGGCCGTGCCCCTGGCCCGAGTCCAGCACTGCAGGAGCTGCAGCTGTGCCAGCTTTATCCGTGTCTCTGAGCTGGGAGCTGGCACTGTGGGAGCCGCTGGTGGGGACTGGGCAGGGACAGGCACTGAGTGGATCCGGGTTTGGGCCAGCCTTGAACAGGATCCACTGATCCAGGCTGCCAGGGGCGCTGGGCTGCCCCATCCCTGGCACTGCCTGAGGCCAGGTTGGACGGGGCTTGGAGCAGCCTGGGATAGTGGAGGTGTGGGACTGGCGGGAATCCCTAGGAGCAGGGGGAGAGGCTGGGAATGCAGCTGTTGTGACGCCCTGCTGTGCTGTCCTTGCAGTGGGATGAGGCCCTGCTGACCATGAGCAAAGGAGAGAAGGCCCAGCTGGAAATCGAGCCCGAGTGGGCCTACGGCAAGAAGGGGCAGCCCGATGCCAAGTATCCTTGGACAGAAACCTGGGAATGCTGGGTGAGGGATGTAATGGGGGGGTCACTCATTACAGCAGGGAGGGACGTGGGAACTGGGGGATTTGGGATGTTTTAGGTTTCCTTAATGTGCCCCCCCAGAATTCCCCCGAATGCAAAGCTCTTCTTTGAAGTGGAGCTGGTGGACATCGAGTGAGGAGTGAATTCCCTTTGCTGCTGGGAACCCAGGGACTGGCACTGGAACTCCGGGATGCAGTTCCAGCCTGGCCCTGCGGAAATGGAGCGCTGTCCCTGCCCCTCTGTACAGTGACACCCCACTAAACCAGTTTGTACCTGCAGTGCCGTCCCTTCTTTGTGTCCGAGCTCCCCCACCCTCCCCTGGCGGGGCTGCAGGGCCACAGGGCTCCAGCAGCACCTCCTGTGGAATTCCACAGCATTCCCACTCCATACCAGTGTCAGGCACTCTGCTCCCAACGATCCAGGCGTTCCCAAGGCATCCGTGTGCCACAGCCCTGCCTCGAACACCGCTGTTCCTGCTCCTGGCTTGATCGAGGCAATCCAAGAAGGCTCAGAGCACTGCTGAATTCCTTGTTTTTATTACAAAAATGGGAATGATCACTTTGATCAAAATGAAAAAAGTTTTGCTCACACCGTGTACATGAAAAACTCCAAATACAAAAGTCATCCCAAACACAGTTTGTGCTTTTTAGAAAAGAACCAAGGGGGTTTTGCCCCACAGTGAACTCCTGACCCCACAGCTCTGCCAAGGCTCCAGCCCCGCTCCGGGGTCAATCCCAGCACAGCGCCCGCCTTGGCAAAGCTGTGCTGGCAGTTGGGCTGGGAGCAGGACGGCCTTGGCTCCGGCTCTGGGGCAAAACCAACCCAAACAGCCCCAGCTTCACCCACCCAATCTATGGAAACGTAGGACCAACGGGAATTCCTCCAAAAGCTCCATAAATTAGTGCAGGGAATTAAAAAAATGCATTTATGGTAAATGAGAATTGTACAGAGACCATTTATCGGTTACCAGCACACAACTCTTCACACGTACCTGTGAGCAGCAGCTCGGGTCACATGCAGAGGACCCGCAGCAGGTGGCACAACAGTTCTTTCACAGCCCAAAGTTAGAAAAATATATTTTTTTTTTTTTATTCCATCTCTGTCGAAGGTGCAGCACAGTGCCCTCTGGCTCAGCTGGTGTGGTAATACTGTCCGTAATTCCAGGCGTTCTGGTAGTTGTACTGCAAACACAGTGGGATGGGATCAGTGTCCCTGAGCCACACAGCTCCCCCTGCTCCCAGCCGGGCACCCCTGGCAATGAGGAACTGCCCCGTTCCCTCAGGAGGGGTTTGTCTGCTTCCTGCAGCAGGATGTGGAAGGCAGGCAAGGGATCTGTGATCACAGTGATCGTGGAATGCCCTGAGCTGGAAGGGACCCCAAGGACCATCCAGTCCAATCCTGCCCTGCCCAGGACACCCCAACACCACCTTGTCCTGAGATCCAACCTGCCCCTGCCCTGGCACAGCTCCAAGGGTGCCATTCCTGTGTGTCAGTATCTGGGGGTTTTTCCCGCCTAGTGCTGCACAGCATCCAGGCTGGATGAGACTCTGGGAAGAGCACTAGAGCTCAGTGGGATTCAGGCATCCAATCCACTCCCAAACCACGGCTACGCCAGGGCTGGTGGTTTGTGCCTCAGCTCCCTCCCTGCTCTGCCCAGTGTAAACACCAGCTTTTGTTAAACCACCCCAGTAAAACTTCCATGGCTATTAGAGACAGGTGGGGACATGGGTTAGTGTGGCCCTGGCAGTGCTGGGGTGCTTGGTCCAGCCTCAGCCACTCTATTCCCCACTGAAATTCCTCGGAGGAACAGGGAGCTCCATCTTCCCCTGGCCTTCCCTGCCCCTGCCCCGGCAGCACATGCCAGCGTACCTGGTACCAGGCGTTGTAGTTGTAGGCCGCCTGGTTCACCTGCATGTCCCCGTCCATCAGCTGCGCCGACGCCAGCGACGGGTCCTCTGTCAGCATCTTCTTCTCATCCGGCTCCTCGGAGCTGGGGGGAAAACAGCTTGGAATTGGCACCCTGGATACACTGGGGAATTCTCCGTGTGAGAAGCGTTAGATCCCGTTAAACAGCACTGCCCCGCTGGGTGCCCTGTCCAGGCAGGGAGATGGGATCGTTTAGGGAAGGGCAGTGGTGCCTCAGAACAGCCTGGCTTTAAATCCTTCCGTTCCCCACACTGAGACAGCAACGCAGGGTTCTGCTCAGAGAAGAGTTATTTACCAGCCCTGGTCACCTCTCCTATCAAATATAACCCAAAAAGTTATGTTCCAATAAATGCTTCCATCCTGGAAGTGTCCAAGGCCAGGCTGGAGCACCCTGGGCTGGTGGAAGGTGTCCCTGCCCATGGCAGGGGTGGCACTGGATGGGCTTTGAGGTCCCTCCAACCCCAACCATTCCATGACTCTGTGAATAGTTAATCCAGCAGCACAGTTCTATTAAGTGCACACTTCACATGATTTACAGAAGTGACTTTGTTCTTGCACCAGGGGGGTTAAAGCCCCAAAATACCTGTATATCCATTCAGAGACTAAATAACCCCCAGTGCCCGAGGCTGTTCCCTGGAATCTTCCAGGGCACTCCCACATTGCTGTGTCTCAGCTGCAGCCCGGGGGGTGTGTCCCCCACAGTCGGTATATTGTCCCCAGGGGTGTCCCGAGGTGTGTGTGTGTCCCCAGGGGTGTCACAAGGTGTGTGTGTCCCCAGGGGGTGTCCTCAGGCGTGTCCCAGTGTGTGCTGTCCCCAGGGCTGTCCTCCCTACCCGTTCTCTGCCCGTCTCTTCAGCGTCTCCTGCTCCTTCAGCAGTGCCTGGTGTTCATCATAAGCGTCCAGGAGCCTGGGGGGACAGGGGGATCAAACCCTGCTCACCAGTGTCACCAAAACATTCCCACCCCTGAGCAATCCACTTAAAATCTCTCCTTGAAACTGTAAAAGTACAACACTCTAAACCAAACCCCACCATAAATTTCAACAAGTGATCCACCATGAGACGGGAAAGCCAAAAGGCTCAGTTTGGTTCCACAGCAGCTCAGATTTGTTCCTCACACTTGATGCAGCTTTTATGAAGTTCCTTTATAAAGGAGAGGTTTTCCAGAAGTTACTAGTCATTCTGCTCCTTCAGTGCCCGCTCACGATCCACAGCAGGACTAGGTTTGGGAATCAACATTTCAACACCAGAAATCAGTAGTATGCAAAATGATTCCAATCCCAGAGTAGCACCTGCAGCCTTTTCTCATCCAGCATGGGAGGAACAAGTATGTTCAATGCTGCACAAAACAGTCCTGCCTAAAACTCCCACAAATAGATACCCTTTCCTCTCCTGCATCCAGCTTTTCACACAAAACCTGCTGCTCCTGTCAGTAGTGCTCTGGGTGAAAACAGTGTCCTGTGCTCAGTCTGTGAGTTATTTGGGGTTATTTGGGAGCTGCAAAGCTCCTTGGGGCTGCTCTGTCCTGGATCCCAAACCTGCAGTGAGTGGCTGCCATGCAGAGGCAGCAGGATTTAAGGACAGCTGCTGTTAAAAACATCCAGAGCAGAAAAACTTCACTCATGGTTAGTCCTGATGACTTACTGAGCTGCAAAATGTAAATAAAACCAGGAGCTTGTTTTACAACAGAGAATGGAGAGGAAAAAGTCTATGTAGTATTGAATTAAAAGCATGCATTGCTGGTGTATCCTCCCCTGTAAGTGTAAATAGGGCTGAACTGGAAATACCCCACCTGTGCAGTTCTGGAAACCTCGAGCAGCAGCTCCCAGGGAAGAGTCTCAATCGACACCTGGGTCACAGACATGTCACCTCCCCTTTGGGGACCACCTGCCTGTACAGCCCTAGCAAGGGGAGACTACAGCAAGACCTGGCAGGCAGTAACACTTCACCCTGTGAGGTGCTGGGCATTTCAGGAAAGAAAGGATAATTTTCTGAAAGAGATTCCTGTTTAAAAATCTATTCCTATTCCAAAATCTATTCCTATTTAAAACCTGGATTTTGGTTTAGAAGAGCAGCTGTTCCTTAGCCAAGAGCACAGAGGAAACCACGTAACAGATGCCACCAAGCCACTCCTGCCCAACTCCTCCCAGCACTCTCAGTGACCCCACTGCACACAGCACATCTTACTTGTTCACGTCAGACCCAAAATCTTCCAGGAACTCCACTTTTCTCTGGGAGAAGGTGATCCTCATTTTGATAGACAAGGCTCCATGGACAGCCTTGTCAAAGCAGCTCAGGATGTTCTCCTCGTTCTGCTTCAGGTCCCCACTGTACTCCATCTCCAGCAGGTTCAGGTACAGTTTGGTGTTTTCCTGTGCAAAAGGTGTGTCAGAAGGTGCACTCCTGGCCCAGCAGGTGTTCCACACTCAGTGTGTGTTACCAGGCACTCACCACAACATCCACACCACAGATACACACGACAACAGGCAGTGAAGAGCTTTCCCTTTGCCCCTGGGCTGGTTTGTGTCACAGACAACCAGCAGGGATCTGCAGCACAAGCCCAGGCGTGGCACTGTGCTCACAGGACCTGCAGTGCCAGGTACTCCTGTGCTTACACAAAACCACCCCCCAGGACTGCCCCCCAATGCTGTTCACCCTGAGGGGTGAACACACTGGTAACATCTAAGATATTGAGAGGGAAGATGAAGGGATGAAGCACATTGTGCTTCTGACGGGAGGAAAGAGTGCAAACTTCAGATGTGGGAACGTGGCAACATCAGTTTAGAGGGACTGTTGTCTCCATGCAGTAATGGGACATTACATACAGTTACAACTCCTGTCATCACTGTTGCCATGACTTAAAACACGGTTCAGAGACAGAAAAGCAGCAGGGTGGGTTGGGTTTTTGGTAAGACAGCAAGAGGGAACACATACTTTGTCAAGTTCTATGGCTTCTGACAGCACTTTTCTTGCCTTTGGCAGGTTCTTCTGCACTTTGAAGAGGTGCCTGGCCAGTTTGATGGCATAGAAGGAGGCCTCACTGATGGACTTGGCGTTCCTGACAGCGTCCTCCAGCAGGAGCTCGGCCTCCTCCATGTTGCCGTGCCTGCGCTCCAGGCTCACCCTGCGCAGGCGGATCATGGCCAGCCCCAGGATACACTCCTCAAAGGTCTTCAGGATCCTCCTGGCCTCCTCAATGTTGCCTGCAACACCAGCGGAGATGCTTTCACACATGAGAGACCCAAGAGGCGGCCACAAGCACCCCCCCCTCCCCAGGCCGGGGCTGCCCTTACCCTGCTGCTCCTCGAAGGCCGCCCACAGCATGTGCACCATGGGCTTCTTGGGCAGG